TTAAATATAATTGTTGTGATTTAAAATGCAATTCTGTTGAGACAATAGAATCTATTTTAAGTAATGAGTTTCAAGAAAAGTCAAATGTTTGTTTGATTGGTTTACATGCTTGTGGAGATCTTAGCATATATGCATCAAAAATATTTCGTGATATGACAGCAGCACGTGTTTTTATTATAGTTCCTTGTTGTTATCATAAGCTTTCAATATCAAAAAGAATAAAAATAAATGTATCAACTGAAAAACAATATTTTAACAATTTCCCTTTATCTAATTGTCTTAAAACTATAATTAATAATACTGATTTTGACATTGGTTCCTTCTTGAGGCAGCCCTTTTTACGGCTAGCATGCCAAGAACCAGCAGACAGATGGAATAATATGTCTATTGAAACACACAATGAACATTCCTTTTATGTTCTTGCAAGGGCTGTCCTTCAATTATATGCATCTAAAAGTATGTGTCAATTTTTTATTCCAAATACTATTTACTTAACATTAATGTAAAATATAAAATGCTTTAGATGGATTTTTCCTTAAGAAACGTAAACAAAAAGGAACAAGAAAATCTCAATGTTGCGACTTCAAAGCTTATGTTAGAGATTCACTAACTAGATACATTTTACAACCACAGGAAGAAGAAGCATTAAAAGAACAAGGTGATATTCTATTAATTTGTCATATTCTAAAAGCTTTCTGTTGTTTTTATGACTATTTTGGTATATTATATGTTACAAAAATACATTTTCACAAAACTATAATGAATGATTAAGAGGTTATTTTGGTTTTTAGATGTACAACTTAATCTTGATATGCATGAAAAAGACATCATAGAGCTATGGGAAAATCACTGTGATAAATTAAAGATTGTAGAAACATATACTGGTTTACAACTGATGTTGCAAGCATCAGCAGAATCATTTGTTTTACAAGATCGATTATGTTGGATGGAAGAACAAGGTTTAGAAGCAAAAATTATTCCTGTAATGAATAAATACTTATCCCCACGAGCATATGCAATTGTATCACAAAAGAAATAATAAATTTTATAAATTAGCAGTTTTATAAATCGTATTTTGCTATATAATTATAAACTGATCTACAAGTATTATATCTAACTATATCAAATATTTTATCTACATTTTTCTACGACAATAAGTAATTATTTGACTGGTTATGTATTAGAAGATAATAAATTATAGTAGAAATAACTTCTAATTTGAAAAATATACTAAGATTAATATGTTAAATAATAAATTATATTTTATCTGTATGGATGAATTTGTGATGCTGCTTTAATATTAGTTTTGATTGCACTTGGAGCTTTACTCATTTGTCCCACTACAAACACATAAAATATATTGGTTAATATTGTGAATATAAACATTAATGTTATAATTAATCAAATTAGAGTGGATTTGCTTACTAGATGGATTTCCTAAAGATCCTTGTCCTGGAGCTTGTTGTTGATTTCCAGGCCTACCTACCATCATCCCACTTGGCACAGAATTTACACCAGATTGAACCATTTGCACAGAATCAGACTAGAAGGTAAAAGTGCAAAATATAGGACGAAATTATTCCGGATATAATTTCACTCGTTGTAACAATTTTTTAGAACATTCACTTAAGATCACTGATCGCTTTATATGAGATTTGTGTCATAGCTAAAGTATTAAAAATATTAACTTAAAAGAAATTTACCTTTAAACCTTTACCCATACCCACAGCTGCTACAAGAGCATGAGTGTCTGCAGTACTACTTGTCTGGGCTTGAGTTGCTCTAGATCCAGCTTCACTTTCCCATTCCTCACGCGCCTTATTTGCTACATCCCATATATTATTAATGACTTTCGTGTACTGACCCATATGTTTCTGAAAATTATAAAATGCATACATATTTTATAAGAAAAATAACATTTAGTGTTCCACTCGCTAAATGGACCTACTATGAAATGTATAGTATTTTTAAACCATTAGAGGAAAATTAACTTTTGTATATCAAAATTAAAATGTTTATTAATATCAAGTTGTATTAATATCAACTTAAATAAATATGCAATCTACTACAAATTTATAATAATATTTTTTAAACATAAAAGTTAAGATTTCCTCTAATAGTTTAATATTAATAAAAAAGCATGTGTTGCTGCAATGTAAATAAATTATAAAATAATTTGAAATTTAAAATTGTACTGAAAAATATGATAATTTAAAGTGCTATTATAGGTAACTAAATACAAAACATGTTAAAATATATAAAGGATATTTTTATGTCTTCAAAATTTGAAAATTATTATATGTATAATTTGTAACTATTTTAATTTCAGTCCAAAGCGAATGGAACTAATAAAAGCTGAAAGCTAGCTGATAGTAGCTTACATTGCAGTCCTAGTTGATGTTTAGTTAGCAGATTAAAAGAGAAATAGAACATCTTATATTATCTTTAGACTTATACAATAAGACAATAGAGAGATATAATTTTATCTCTGTCTTAAAGTACTTTCAAGATTTAAACTCATTAAATCTTCTAATTATTAACAGGAAGTGAAATTTATATAAATATTCATAGTTAATTTTTAAAAAGATGTAATATATAAATAAGAAATGGTTTTTCTTACATGTGATGCTTCAAAATTTACATTTGCAGCTTTTGTTTCAAGCTGCATCATTTTTTGTTCTGCTTGAGGTTCCACTTTAGTTCGTAGATAATCTGGTACTAAATCATGAGCAAATGTGGGAATTCTACCTTCGGTTAAACGAAGCAATTCTTCATCTTTCTCTGGACTTAATCTTAATGGTAAAACTGTTAAGTTCCTTAAATTTGGTGCTTTATCATGTCCAAGAATTTTTGAGAGACTGGTCAACTATAAAAACAGTTATTAACTATAACAACAATTAAATCATTTAAATTAAGCAAAATTGGTTTTATTTAAAAGTTTCAACTACATTAACTTACATGTCCTGAAATAAGTGCAAAATTGTCCAGAAAATTGGGCCAATTCAATGTTTCATATTCGTGTTCCAATTTAAATATCATTGCAGCAATTGCAGTCTTTAAATCATTTACTCTCATAATAATAGCCTCCAAAGCAGAATCCAGTTGCTTTTCTTCTCTTTGCATTTTCAATCTTGTTAAAATATAAATAAAGACATATTGTAATATTTTTACATGCATTGTTATTCATTATTATTAAAGTAGCACAAGTAATTGTGTATAAACAATATTATATTCATATTTATTTTATTAAAGATAGCATACTTACTATTAGACGTACAATAATCCAACAAAATTCGTAATTGTTTATTGTGTTATTCTTTTATTAATATCAGTCTTACATTATTACAGCATAAACATTCGTACGCATCTTGTACATGATCGTTCTCGTACCTCTGATCATGATGGATATTAATCATGAACATAGTAATACACGAAATATAAATCACCACTTTAGGCTTGATGGTGTGGGGAGGGGGGGGGGCACTTCCCGGAGCGAAGAACATGGTCACGTGGTATTTTGCGGTCACATCGGTGATTGGCTCTAGCATAATTGCGCGAAATTTCAAAATGAGATCTCTGATTTGTTTACAATTATAGATGTACGATAAAATATTCTCCATAAAACGGAGGCACGAAGTGTTTTATTTATATATCGGCATACTGAAATGTTAATAGTGTCATATAAATGTTATCGTACATTATTGAGACGTTAGAATTAATTGGCTAAAAGTTAAAATCTACAGATATGAATCTACAGATATATTGTTTTCCTTTAGTATCTACTTTTGCAACTACCATATCCATGGGCAACTACGCAATAGATTCAGTATGTTTTTCAGTATTATTATGACACAAAGGAAATAAACCCGTCAACCTGTTACGGCAATTACACTGATTTACTTTTATTTGATGAAAATAAAATTACGCTTGCGCGATCACAACCAATCACCAATGCGGCCTCAAAGTACCACATGACCATAATTCCTGTTTTTCGGGAACGACTTCACTTCTCTTAGCTACTGTTCCGACGTTCTGAACATTGTCCTGAATCTCAATATTCCTATGTCGATGGTTATGGTGGAGTGTGTAAATGAAGTCTATTAGACTACTTAATAATTTTCTAAATGAATTAATCAAAATGTATTATAGTAAATAATAGTAACATACAAATTTGAGAGAAAGATTTGATGTTGTACTTCTATTTGAAGTATTTTCATTATTTTTAAGTAAATAATTTTAAATAAATAATATATATATATAAAGTAAGATATATATACATATAAAGCAAGAGATTTCGATGATTTCTGATATGTGTAGAAATCAATGTTTAGAAGAACTTTTTCCTATACATATAACAATGGACGACCAATTATAAGCAGTATTTACTGTAGTGGTATCGACTGTTTTCTGCGAATAACTCAGAAGCTGAAATCGACCATCGGTTAAATGTATAAAAAAATGTTGTTCAAAATGTTGAGTTTTGCAACGTATAGAAAAATCATTGAGATCGGAGGGGAGGTAACTTCTCTGAAGTTTCAACAAAATAAGTTCCCTTTGCTTTTTGACAAATTTTACTTTTAAAGACTGATAAGGAATTATACAAATTTGTAGGTGCATAAAAAAATCAAAATTACTAATACAAAGTAAATACAAATAAGCAGTAAGAGTAACTCATATGAAAAGTTACAGAAAAGAAGATTTTTTAAATTCAATCACAAGCATCAAAATTGCTTTAAAAAACAGTATTATAATCTTATATACATAAGAGTAAAAATTTTTTATTTAGTATTTATTAAGATCAAGATACTTGGTAAATAACTTTTCACATTATCCTAAGGATATTACTGTGGCATGTTTCTAAGTTTAAACATAATTATCTTTGTTATTTCATTTTTATATTTTTTAAATATACTATAATTAAAGCATTATTTATTTTTGACTGCAATAAATTTATTTGTAGAAAATATTAAATCTTTAATTAATATAAATCTTAAATATTAAATCTTTCATTACAACATTTTTATCATTTTGGTGAATTATTGAATAATCAATTTTGAGTGTCACTGTCAGGATTTGCTACTTGTCTTTTAAGCATTATAAAAACCAATGGTGCAACTACTTTCCAGCCAAGTTTTTTAAACATATTTTCAGATGTTGTGTTTCCTTTAACAATAAATAGTACTGTAGAAATCCCTTGTTCTGCAAACTTCTTTGAAAGCATATTTACTACTATTTTTGCATAACCTTTTCCTCTATGTTCCTCTACAGTTTGTACTATTGATAATCCATGCCAATCATTTTGCATGCACCAAGAAACTAAAGAATCATCTTCTTTTAAATATAGTCCTATTCCACCATTCATTTCTACCAGTGTACTTAAGTATTTTAGGGATAACTGTGGGTTTTCCACATCTCTGTGTGGCCATACAGAATGTATTAATGGAATGTTTGATTTATTCAGAGGTTTTATATAACATTCATTTGGTATCCTAAAGAAAAGCAAATAAATTATTGTATATTGGTATTATAGTGGTATACTGATAATATAATAGCAAATATGAATACCAAGTCTTTGTTTTTATACACTCTTCAGCAGGCTTAAAATAATAGTTAAATGACAACACTAGATTTGTTTCTACATTTCTCAAATGTTTCAGATTCTCTAGTGCAGTCAGTACACTAGATATAAAACATTCATGAACTGTAACAAAGTTTACTTGTTGATTATAATCTATGACTTTGGTTTCTGTTAACACTTTATTTATAATATCACTGTTTGGATGCAGTGTAAATATTAGTACATTATATTCTGAAAACTATATATATAACTATATATATATATAAGAAATAATATTTCTTATAATTTCTTTTTACATTTATATATTCACATTTATATAAAATACTTACATTGCTTATCCCAAGGAAAGTTCCTTGTTCATCATCTCCATATGGGCAATATATTTGAATAGATATATTTGGATTCTTTTTTTTCCATACAATAGCATTTTCAATCCAGTAATAATACTATAAATAGAAAATTTTATTATGATTTACTGTGATTTATCTATAAGATTTATATTAACAACATTAGGATATGTATTGATTATAAATTGTTTAAACTGAAACTTACATATGCAAAATGTGGCCAGTTATGCTCTACTTTTTTTTTAATAAGAGACCATTTTTCAAATGGTAAAGGTTGTAAAATATCTACAGTAGAATTTTTTGACATTGTATAATTGAAATTTCTAACCGTAAAATGAGAGTGTATAATTGCATATAGCTATATATTTTACTACTGTTTTTCAGTGTTACTACCTTGATCTCAACTATCTGAAATGTTGTCCTAGAGTAAATAAAAGAAATGAAATTGATAATATTTGATAATTATAGAACTATGTAATATACGATATTAGAACATTAAAAGATATATAATAAATAATAATATATATGTATATGTACATATATCAATTATCATTTTGTATTCTATAACTTTATATCAAAATTTTAAAATCGTAATAAATCATAAAAGTATATTACTATATTTCTGTATAAAAGAGAAAGAAATTATTTCATACACTTATTACATTTATTATATTTAATATAAATAATACTAAATATATTTTAACTTAAAAATTTTATTTATATATAATATATAGTACTATAGTAATATATAGTATATAGTAGAATAGATTTAGATATTTAAGAAGAGAAAGAGAGGGAAAAATGATATTTTGCTTGCAGTTTACTGTTTTAGATAAATTGAATTCGTACAAAACAATTGTATTTGACCATAAATCATTAAAATAATAGATCTACAATTTTTCATTTGGAAATTTATTTTTAATTGAATAAGTACTTGCGGGAATTAGTTATTTCTTGTAGCCCTCTAATGGCGAATATCAGAAATATGGTTTAAACATACGTTTAAACTTTATATATTGATAGTCTTCATTAGTGTTTTTTTATAGTTGCAAATTACAGCTGATTGGTGTTTGGCATTCTGGCACCCCATCTCTCTTTACACGGTGCATCTCACTGACATTTCTCTGCTCAGATTTGCTTTTGATATGCCTACTAATACTTATTACAACTCTTTCTGGATATATCCTAGTGTTTTCTTTTGGTTCGTAAAATAAAATGTCGAAAATGAACTCCAAAGATAAAGATAATAAAACATTACATGATAAATTGAAACAATTCTTCCGCATTAACAAAGGTGATTTTATAAAGATTCAATTTTTATAATTAATGATTACATTGTATTATTGATATATTTTGATATCAAATAATGAGACACGCTTTTAATGATAATAAGCTTTTATCTTGTCCTAAGTAAAATAATTCTGTAATTATAATTTATAAATTATAATTGACGATTGCAGTTTATATATTATTTACAGAATTACATTCGTATATATTATTTGTAAACAAATCAATAATAAATTTATTTTTAGGTAATTATAAAAGTCGTGAAGATGTTACGTTAACTCATGATCTTGAGAAAGAAATTAGTCCTGAAAGTCCTGTGCATCATCGTACAAAAGTAATTAAAGATTTGTGTGATGCAGTTCTTAATCAACAATGGGAAGATGTAGGTAGATTGTTTATTATAATAAATTTATACTAGTATGTCTAACATTATCTATTAAATAATATTTCATAGTAATATGTTTAAAAATATTATTGATTTCTATTTTTTCATTAGAAAGCAGCTGAAAGATTATGGTATTTGGTACAAGATCTTCTGGAAAAGGATGTGCCTCGTGAGCACAGACATGTGACATTAAACTTTCTGCGATGTCTTGTTCAAGGTCAATATTCTAAATTATCTTCTCTTATGAGAGTGAAGTTCTTTATGGTTGTTAAGGAACACAATATTCCTGAAGATATTGGACCTAGGTAACTATTAAAATACAATAATTAGAAATTGTTTTATTTTATGAATATTTTAGCTAAGTTGAGGATTATTATGTAGATTGGACCTTTTACAAAGCTTAACAGAAAATGGAAAAGATATATTGCACCTAGAGGAGAGAATGGGACCTTTCTTATTAGATTGGATGCCTGTTGTAACAGCAGGAGATGGAAAAAGGGGGGCTGAGTTTTTATCGCTTCTTGTTAATGTCATAAAATTTAACTCAGCATATATTGATGAAGATATTATATCAGGCCTTGTTCAGTAAATATTTTATAATTTAATATAAGTAAATCAACAATTATGGTAGACATTATAAAATAAATACTTCATATTTTATATTCTTAGGTATATTTGCCATCTATGTTATTATAGCAATAGCAGTGAAGTTGTTTCTGGATGCTTAGAAGCTTTGGATGCGATTGTTTGTTACAGTAATTTACAATCTGATTCATTACAAACTTTTATCATAGCATTATGTGGAAGTGTTAATGTTGAAACATACTGTCAAATAAGTTGGAAGGTACATCACAAAATTTTATGAAGTTTAAATAATATTAATTTAAATTAAAATTATAATTTAGAAATACTTCAATCTCAAATATGTATGACTTTTTGTAGATAATGCGTAACTTATTAGGTACACATATGGGTCATTCTGCACTATATACGATGTGTCGTTTGCTACAAGATACAAATTTTCAGAGAGATGTTCGTTTACTTAGAGGTGCAGTATTTTATGTAAATATGGGTCTTTGGGGGACTCATAGAATTCCAAAACTAGAATGTACTCCTACATCAGTTTTACCTTCATTTTATCAAGTAAGTAATAAAAACCTAGTATAATCTTTATATGTTTTCATGTAATTCACTGTTTATTGCTTTGTTATTTCATAAGGCTTTAAAATGTAATCATCCAATTGTTATGTATGAAGTCACATTATCAATTCAAAGATTAGTAAATAAATATGGTGCTGAGTTATGGGACCCTACATGGAGTATTATTCTTGATATTATTGAAGAAGTTATTTCTCATACAGGTAAAATTTAAAACTGTAAAATTCGATGTAAATATTAGGTTTTTATTAATAATGTATTCTGTTCTTAGAAACTAGTAATCAGCCTGCAACCAGACAAGTTTCAGTGAGTTTACATGAAACAATAAATAGCATTGAAAATTTATTGGATAGTAACTATTATAATGGTTGTATTCAACGATTTTATGATCTCGTTGAACGATGTAGTGATGCAAGACCTGTAATTATTATATTTTTAATGTAAATATAACACTAAATATTTTTTCTGTGCCAAAATATAAAATTATTTTTTTTTTAGGAAGGTTCCATTTTGAAATTAATCGAATATCGAGCACGTACTATAGGAGCTACACATCATCTATGGCAATCCAGATTAGCAAATTTGATGGAGCGTTATTATAAAATTGAAACGCGTACTAATGTTAGAATGAAAGTTCTTGATGTTTTAACAAACGTCGTTCAAGTTAATAGGTATATAAAATGACATTTTGTAAAAATTAAATAAATTTTGTAATTGTCGTTTCTTTCAATAGATCTAGATATGAAGATGAATTAATTGAGCGAATAATTGTGCCATATTTTCAACATGTCGATATGGATTCGGATATTACAATTCGTAATGGTGTTGCACATTTACTTGTTGACCTTTGTCTTGAGTGTGATACAAAAAGATGTTTAGAACTTTTAGATATACTGGAGAAGGTATATAATTTTTTAGATATTTATTTACATAAAACATTATTTTTAATATAACATATTCAAATCAAAAATGTATGTTAAGGTAATCAACAAACCATTCACTTCTGACACTCCAGTTATGAAAGATGTCGATATTAAAGATGTAAAGACTGCAATTGTTGGTGTGATAAAAATATTAACATCAAAAATTTATTATTTACCATCAAGTCATGCCATACGTGCTTACAAAGTTTTAGTCAATCATCTGGAGCAACATTACAAAGAACCAACTGTCTTCCATGACATTTCTACCATTCGATACTTGGTAATAAACATAAATGATGTAAATGATGTAATAAATACAAAATATTTTAATCTCTAACTTTTTAGTGGTAATACGTTAACATTTTAGTGTATCTTATATTTTAGTGTATCTTATTATAAAATTATTATGCATTTTAGATTTTTGAATGTTTTTTAAAAATTAGAGCGAATACGCTTTATCATCTTGGATTTCCGGATCCTCAAAATGCATCCGTGATAAAGTTCAGCCCATATCTAGTTTTAGAACATGCAACAACTGAACGAATGAATAGTGGAGGAGGTGGCAGTAGTCCTCCACCAGTTAGTCCAGCTCCATTACAGCATTTATCTTGTCAAATTACTCATATGTCATTGGCACATGCATGTAAAGCGGTTATTTCCTGTATTAAATCAGAAAAAGGTTTATATTATACATATTTTCAATTATTATATAATTATTTATTTATGAAAGTTGGGAGTTGAATTTAAAATTTATTGGCTTTACAGATTGGAAGGTTTTGCAACTCGTACTAAAAGAATTGCCTCAAGTAATGCAAAATAGAGCATTAATATTATCACGACATACAAACGATATTGACTTCTTTGCAACTGCACTTTGTTCCATGGTACATTATCTTATTTTCTTCGTTAAACATTTCAACAAATTTATTTTGATATATTTTTATAGGTCAGTGATAAAAGTTTGAGACTTCCAGAGTCTCTCTACAATGTTCCTCCAAAATTTACTCTTTCAGAGTTTCGCGTTCATGTTTTTCCAGTATTAGCATCATTAGCTTCATATCATGCACATCTGGAACCTAATTTGCAACAGCGTTTGATAAAGTGTTTAGAAGTAAGAAAATTCAATTCTTAAAATTAATACACTGATGCAATATTTGTAGCTAGCTAAAATTTTTAAATATTGTCACTTTTTAGGTTGGTTTAACAGCAAAGTGTGCAAGTCAGTGTGTTACTAGTCTTACAACTTGTATTTTAGAAATGCGTGATGCAATGAACAAACTTCTATCTGAAGTACTTTTAAATTTATCAAAAATTTCAGCAACAGTACATATAGCTATACCAATTTTGGAATTTCTGTCTAGTAAGTATTAAAAACTTTAACAACCAATAAGTTTAATCGTGAGATACATATGTATTTATATGTCTTTTCCTTGCAGCTCTTACTAGGCTTCCAAAAGTTTTTGCAAGTTTTATTGGAGATCAATACATGTCTGTCTTTGCAATTTTATTACCATATACAAATCCCTTCAAATATGATCATTATACAGTATCCTTAGCACATCATGTAATTGCTGTATGGTTTTTGAAATGTCGACTACCATTTCGTAGAGATTTTGTTAGATTTATTACTACAGTATGTACATTATTAACATGCTATTATTAGTCTATTGTTAGCTATTGTTCTTAATAATGAAACTATGACTCTTTTTTAATATACAGGGTTTGAAGGCAAATGTAATAGTTCCCTTTGAAGAGGGACATTTAATGAAATCGGATTTTAACTTCATAAATGAAGATTCTTCAAATAGAAAACGTAGTTCAAGCTTAACAGAGCAGGTATAAAAATTAATAAAACTATATTCGTTTAGTATCGTTTTTTAATCTATTATTTACTGTTATATTTTTATTTATAGGGTAGTAGGGGCAGGAGAGAGAGACCTATAATGGCTAATCGTATGATAGGAGACAATAAGGTTTCAGATTTAAAGCCTCCAATTGATGAGGCTTTAATGACTTTTCATGTGGAGCTTACTGAAACTTGTATTGATCTTATGGCTCGGTATACATTTTCAACTTATTCAGCTCGACCTAAAAGGTAAATTTATAAATTTTCATGTTTTATTAATTATGAAATATATATATATATGTCGGAGATGAAAGGACATCGAAGCCTCCCCTTTGGAACTTCGGGATAATCCCCTAACACCGTAATCTAGATTCTATCATAGGCGTAATTAAACAATTGTCGTCTTTCGATCCGATTGTATTTGTTCGAGATTTGTGATAATGAACTTGGGCTTGAGGCGACAGCCAGTCACCGAACGTAGCCGCGGTCACGGGATGAACGCTTTGTCTA